GATGAGAAGCGGGGGATGAAGAGGAGAGGAGGAGGACGAGGACGAGGAGGAGGAGGGGAGGGCAGAAGTAAGAGGAGGAGGAGGAGGAGGAGGAGAAGGAGGCGGAGGAGGGCAAAAGCTGCGGCGTTGGCTTTGCCGGCTCTGCGCAGCGACCGCCCGCCCCGAGGAGAGTTCGAGGAGAGCGCTGGAAGACGGCCACCTCCTGCGCGCACGGGCTTCCGAGCTGAACCAGGAGCCGAAGAAGAGAAATTGCTAAAGCATATGTTTGGCTTGTCTCCCAAAGAAACAAGTCCGATGGTCTCCGTTGCCATTTTATTTCGATATGCCTGAGGTGAACCGACTGGATACCACTGATCCGCGGCAGTCAAGACAGCCTGGCGGTTCGGCATTGTTTTGCGTGCGCGCGCAGTGGCGCACCACACATCAACGAGCCATGTCGCGGCCTGGAGCGGCTCCTGTGGCATGATGGTCTGCTACCCGTGGAGGAAGAAATGGGGGAGCAAGGCGGCGCCACGGTAGCGAGCGCAGGCATGACGAACGCCCAATGCGAGCGTGACATGGTCCAAGAAGGAGAAGAGGAAACATGTGGGCAAACGCTGGGATGGAGCAGCCCGTGGCAGCGGAGTGCGGGCCGTGAGGACTGGCCGAAGCTCAAGCCCAGTGCAACCATCCAGAAACCAGCCATACCTGGAGCTTCGCATAAGCTTATGGACCCTGAGGTGATCGAGGAGCAAAGGGCGCGGTAAAGGAAAAGGAGCAAAACGGCTGAGGGGGCCCGACCGACACTGCCAGGGCAGGCGCATATCAGGAAGGTGCAGGCTAAGATCTTTCACAAGCAAGCCACGCACCAGAGGGCGATGGACTACGAGGCAGAGCGCGAGGAGGAGGTTCAGCAGGCGCAAGCTCCAGGTGGAAGCTTTTGAGGACCAGCAGCTCAAAGCCAAGTTGAAGCAGGTGCAGGCGTCGCTGGCAGCAGCGAAGGCTGCGGAGCAGGCGCTGCAGCCGTAGCATAAGCAGTTCCACACGAAGCAAGCAATGAATGGGAGCCAGCATTAACAGCTGGACCAGGATTAGCAGCAGCAGCAAGTGGAGGCCAAAAGCGACCAGTACCAATGGATGACGAGGAGGACGACATGGACAACATGGGCGAAGAAGAGCTCCAACCGGAGTATGGGACGTGGTGTACCCACACCGGGCTAGACGCCAATATCTAGGGTAACAGTGTGGACTGCTGCTCACAGGGCCAGGTTGGCACAGAAGACGCAGTCGAGTGGAACGCTGGCATGCTCAAGACGAGAGAAGTCCTGACGAGCATCGGCTACGAGGTGCCCGAGGCAGCGGGAAAGCCAATGCCGGCATGATCTGCATGGCATAAGCGGACCTACGTGGGGAAGTGTGGCACATGGATGAGTGCACTGCAATGCAAGGCTGGATTCTTGGACCAGAACGCAGCTTGGCACGGCCGTGGACTCACGGGGTGGGATGTTCGTCGACGAAGAGGCAATGGACGGCGGCAGCGTCACCTGGTGCAGGCGGAAAAGGAGGAGGGATGAGCGCCAGATGCTGCAGTGCGGTGCCACGCAGTATTGTTTTGCAAGGAAGGGGCGTTGCCGCTGTCTGCGCGCGCGCGGGCAGGAGAGGAGCTGTCAGGGAAGAACTCGAGCGCCTTGGACAGCGTCGGGGAGCCCACTGAGACAGATGATTCGCCACGGATCATTGCTCGAGATGAACGCGAACATGGGGCCGAGCACGTTGCGGGGGACGGGGCGGCTAAGAGATATTGGTTGCGGCCCACGCAGCGCCGAGCTCATCGCGCGGACTGGCGGCGCCGGCGGCGGCAGCGAGCAAGCTTATTTTGTCGCGCCAGGAAGGGCCAATCATGCGTTGACCATGCCCACTATGATGGGGGGGGCACTGACGCGGCGCCGCGCTGGCCGATCTGCGCGCGCTGCAATGCGGCGCCCGACAGCGCCGCGGCATTGGGGCTCGAAAGGCCGAAGCCGCTCGCACTCGAGAGGCGTGCGGGCCGACTTCCTGCGCCGCGGCAATGGCCAGAGTGGCCCTGGACGGGGGCGTCAGCGCAGGCGGGCTTCAACAACCACCGGCAGGAGGTATCGAAGGTTGCGCGGAATTAGACGGTTGACGCGCGCCAGATACGCAAGGAAGATCAGCCGGTTTTTCGGGCGCGGGCGACGCCGGCAATTGGCCAGGACTGCGGCAGCGGCACCCAAAGTTAGAGAGGGATTGCAGGAGCATCGGCGGCGCGAGCGCGGAGGTGGATTGCCGCCAAAGTTGGGGGGGGGGCGCGCCCAGCTTGCCCGCCTCGTCAGCGCGCGCGCCGCCGGCGCGGGGGAGCTGCGTGGAAGAGCCGCTAGAGCGCAAGTCCAATGGCGCACGCTCAGATCGGAGTGGAATTCTGGCACGCGTTCAAGCGGCCCCAGGGCGCGGAGGAGGCTGAGAAAAGGCGCGCGAACGCCAGGGGATCCACGGGCGGGGAAAGTCGAAGGCACGGCGCCGGCATGCGCTGGATCAAGGGCGCGCGGGGGCGGGGAGATTGAAAGAAGGATCGAAGGGGGCAGCGGGCTTCCCGCGCCTCGTGGATCGTCGGAGACACGCGGGGAGGCAGCCGGTCCCGAACGACGACAGCAGGGGCAACGCGCTGGATTTGATGGGCGGCCAGGACAGGGCCAATCGCGAAGCAGGGGGGGCGGTTCAAGCTGCGGGCGCCGCGCGGAGAAGAGAGCACTCGCGCCGCGGGGCGCGCGATATATTCGATTTTGATGAGCTCGGGACCAAGGCGGCTCCATTCAGAGCCAGGACGGGTGCAGGCGCGGATTGGCGACATCCAAATTTTTGGACCTGGAGTTCAGATCAGAGAGTCGCGACGATGATCGACATGGTAGAGTCCATCATACAGCGCGCGCGTTGGCCGTCGCAAGTGGATGCGAAGGTGATTCTTCCGATGCCGAAGCCGAAGTCGGATGGCAAGCGAACTTTGGCGCCGCCGCGCTCGCCCGCGTGCGCGGCGGGAGCTCGCGCGGCCGAGAAGCGCGGGCGCTGGGGGGGGGCCGACAGCCCCCGTCACGACAAAACCACGGTTCTCGCTCGAGGCTTCCTCCCTTTTTACTCAAGGCGGTGTTCCTCCTCGCCGCCGACAACCGCCGTCCCAACAAAACCAGCGTTCCCGCTCGAGACTTCGTAATGTGTTATGCTGGACTAGCGCCCTGCTCTCTTCAGCATTGGCGCCGCTCCCAGCAACAACAGCGGCCCTGCTCGAGACTTTTTCCTTTTCTATTCAGGGCCAGGTCCTTGCCTCGCCGCCGACAGCCCCCATCCCCACCAAGGCAATCCTGTCGCTCGATAGTTCCTTGTGTTTTACCCTTGGCTGGGGCTCCACTGGCGGTCTCGCATCGGCACAGCAAGGCGCGGGCATGCGTTTTTCGAGGCGGGATATGTTGAAATTCCTCGGGGGAGGTGTTTGCGAGACGTCATTGGGCGGGGTATCTGGGAATGGGAACAACGGACCCGCTATAGAACAATAGTCCCCCATGCTGTGAATGGTTATCATGATGGTCGCATGCTTCGTGTGGAAACATCGCACACGAGGATAACATGATTGTTGTTGTTGTCGTTGTTGTTATGGCTGTGGTTGTTGCGGTTGTTGTGGTTTGTGTGGTGGTTGTTGTTGTGGTTGTTGTGGTGGTTGTTGTATGTGTTGTCGTCGTTGTTGTTGTTGTTCAATTATCACTTATGAAGAGCAATCAGTGTTGATCCCCTCCTCCGGTAACATATGTGTTTTTCAATTGAAGTGCCCCTGCTGGAGGTCGCACCCTGTTGTTGCTGTTGTTGTTGATGTTGATAGTTCATGTCCAATGAATAATTCGTGTAGACCCCCCTTCTCTAGTAGCTGTTGCACTGTTCAACTAAAGCGTTTTCAAATGCGCCCTTGGCCCCTGGTTTACAACAACAGCGGTTGCCGCCTGATACATCCTCGCAATGTATTCCCAAATTGCGTTATCGAGCGGGACGTGTTTACAACGTATACAAGAATCACGCTCTCGCGTAGGATTTGTTCGCAATGTGTGCAAATGCCGCGCCCTCGACACTCAGGAATCACGCTCTCGGTGTGGATTTCGTCACGATTTATTCGGGAATCGCGCTATCGCTTGAGACTTCCTCGCGATTCATGCAGGACGCACGCTTCAGCAACCCGCCTGCTCGACCTGGCCGCCTGCGCCCGCCTTCCCGACCCGCCCGTACGGGTCTGCCCACCCGATCTGCCCATTTGGTTTTGCGACGTGCTTTCTGTTTCCAGCCCCCCTCCTGGTACTGTCTCCCGTATTCCATCCTCCTCCCGCCCCCTTGTCTTTTCTTTCCATCCGTCATTTCTTCCCCTGCCTTAGGGGCTGCACGACATACACATTGTAGGTAAGAAAGATATACCCCAAAGGGTGTACGATCCAAGACGAAGAGGGCGGGTTCCGAGGGTTTGGGATATACATGTTGAGTGGCACGCGAGCAAATAAGAGCGAGCAGTATTAACATGATTGTTGTTGGTGGTGTTGTTGACGTTGTTGCGGTTGTTGTGGATGTTGTTGTTGCCGTTGCTGTCGTTGTTGTTCAACTTTCACTCTTGAAGAATACTAAGTGTTGATCCCCTCCTCCAGTAACATATTTGTTTTCCAATTGAAGTGCTCCTCCTGGGGCTCGCACTCTGTTTTTTTATGGTACAGTTATCCTCCTCAAACTGCGATGTTGGCCCCCGAACCACAACAACAACGGCTCCTGCCGGATACTTCCTCGCAGGGTATTGAAGAATCGCGCTCTCGCGCGCGACGTCTTCACAAATTTTGTACGAATCGCGCTCCCGCGTGGGACCTCACCATTTATTAAGACGATGCGCCCTCGGCGCTCAAGAATCACGCTCTCGCTTTGGGCGTTCTCACGATTTACTTAAGAATCGCGCTTCCTCTGCGATTCATGCAGGACGCACGCTTCAGCAACCCGCCTGCTCGACCTGGTCGCCTGGGCCCGCCTTTCCCACCTGCACGCTACGGGTCTGCCCACCCGATCTGCCCGTCTGGTTCTACCATTCGTTTTCTGCTCATTGCTCCCCTCCTGCTAATTTCTCTCGTGCTCCTTTCTTCTCCCTCCCCCTTCCACCCGTCCTCATTTCCCTTACTTAGGGGCTGCACTAAATGCATGTTGTAGCTAAGGTAGACATACCCGCAAGGCGGTACGATCGAAGATGACGAGGGCGGGTGCCGAGGTTTTGGGATATACGTGTTGATTGACACGTGAGCGGATAGGAGCGAACCGTCTTGAAATCATTGTTGTGTTTGTTATTGGCATTGATGTTGTTATTGCTGTTGTTGTTGCTGGTGCTGTTGCTGTTGCTGCTGCTGTTGTTGTTGCTGCTACTGCTGTTGTTGTTGTTGTTGTTGTTGTAGTTGTTGTAGTTGTTGTGGTTGTTGTTGTTGTTGTTGTTGTTGTTGTTGTTGTTGTTGTTGTTGTTTGGGGGCTGGTTCCGGCGCAACCCCGAAACGCCAGAGCGGTAGCCTAATTTTTAAAAAGTCCATGCAGCCGGCGCCGAGGCGAGATCGCCAGTGCGAATGTAGAGCGTCCCACAACGCCAATTTTTCCCCAATCAGTGCTTGAACTGAAGGGGTCCGAGCGGAAGTTGAAAGATTTGGCGAAAGTTTCCCGCCGATTTTGGTAGCAGGCTGGGTTCCCAGGTTCCCGGCTCCGGGTTCCCAGGTTCCCGGTTATTGGTTCCGGGCCGATTTCGGTGGGTTCTGGATTCCCGGGCTCCCGGGTTCCCGGTCGATCTCCCCAGTGAAAGCCATCCATTGATTGTTTTTTTTTTCTCTGGTGCAACCTCATAGTTGAAGCCCAACATGGATTAATTAGAAAAGCCTCAGGGCCTCTGGGAGCCTGGAGCAAAGGTGGAGGAGGCATCGACCAGGAGCGCCGTTGCGTGCAGCGGAGGGCCGCTTGCGGCGCCGAGGCGGGAGCGCCGGCCCGGATCTAAAAAGCCATGAGGCATCGAGCGGGAGCGCCGGCTGTGTTGGAGAGCCGGCTTTCGGCGGCGAGCGAGAGCCCTGGTCCCGAGTAGACAAGGAGGGCGCATCGAGCGGGAGCGTTGTTGTTGTTGCTGTTGCTGTTGCTGTTGCTGTTGTTGTTGTTGTTGAACATTATTACTTCTAAAGAATAATCATTGCGGGGGCCCCTGGTGCACGACCCCCCCGCCGCGCCTAGGCCGCAGCCTCATTTTCATCATTTTCGTGAGGAAGTCTCAGGCAAAACGGGGGAGTCCGGATCCAGTTGTGTTGTT